GTAGTTGTGGCCCCCCTCCTCAAGAGAGGACCAAAACAGACCCAGTTCCTGAAATGGTAAATTCTCTTGTTTTGTGAACACCACACAATGAAGAGAATTCAAAAACCCTGCAAGTGATTCTGAGTGATATACAATACCAATTTTAAATTCTGAATTTTGGTGAATGAAGCGTAAGTCAGAAACTTTTTCTTCTCCTTCAGTTAAGGTACAGGCTTCTATGTCATGTTCAGAGTCTCACTGTTATTTGCTTTCTCAGTCATATTTCTTATTCCCCGACATCTGTACTGTTATTTGTCTCTTCATCCATCCTTTCCACGTGGCTCTTCATGTCAGTCCCTCTGCTGCATCAGCTACATCAAGCAACTGTTTTGCTGTGCACAGCATGTGCTCACAATGTGATGTAAAATTTATACATTAAAACAGTTTCTACAACCAGTGGGATGTGAGGTCTCTAAAATAACAACTTCCATTAGTGATTACTAACTCAGCTCCCTGGAGTTTCTTATGTAGCAGTAATTAAACTGGAGACACATACTGGAAAAATTCAAGGTTTGTTTCAGTCTGGTGGGAATACAGGGTTTCATAAACTGACTGGCTGGATGCGAGTCACTGTGCTTGTGTATACATACATAACATACTGTACTACCCCAATGTATATAACAGGGGAAACCAGACTTACTGACCATCAGACACACATTTGGGTTGCTTCAGCAGGATGGGGTCAACAACAAATTCCAGTTCCAGACAATCAATCTAGAAGTTCAAATGCCAAATATTAACCAACTTCACACAGCTGCACCTTTCCAGAGAAGCTACTAGTTGCTCAGCTACTCAATGAATTACCAACATGAAATGGAATGCAAGGGTTCATTACTATTCACAGCCAGACACTGGTCCCTATCGTGAGCCAGATGATTTCACTCCATATTCCCTTCTTTAAGCATACAGAATACACAGCATCAGCCTACCTTCACACTTTTCTGAGGACAACTGCAACTTGCAAATCCATTTGTGCACTGCGCACTACTTTATATGGTGAAGACACACAAAATTGAACACATATTCCAGGACCATGGAGCAGGATCAGTTCTGGTGATGCAGCGACAGGAATGTGTGGTGACACATGAGGAAGAGCTCTGCTGATGCAAAGTTATTAAGGGATAAATGTATGGTACATCTTATGCAAAATGAAGCAAGCGTTCCTTGGCAAGAGAAGTGTAAGTAATCAGAGATCACTTGCTCAGAGTGACCAATAATTAGCTTCATTTATGATGCAGTTCATTCAGGCAGTGAAGAAAACAGGTATGGAGGGAGGGGCATAACTGCACTAAATTTAAGTACAATTAAAAGTGTCATTCCACTACATGAAACCTCTGAATTCCAATTAATAATATTAAGGACACTGCCTAATTTTTTTAAAGAATTATATATGAGGGTGAGTCAAATGAAAACCTTAAATTTGTAATAAAAAATCGAAATTTCGTGACAGTATCCTGTAAGTTTGTAAGCGTGCTACAAACAGCATGCAGAATGGCCTGTAGGTTGCAGCATAGTGCAGATACACGAATACCGTCACACCACCAGTATAAGATGGCTGCCCCACTTGAGACTTGCACCATGGAAGAACAGCATTCTGTTATTGGTTTTTGTGTAGTGAAGGTGTGAAACCTATTGAAATTTATCGAAGAATGAAGTTTCAGTATGGTGATGCATGTTTGTCACAGCAGCAAGTGTACGAATGGAGTGCGAAGTTTGCAAATGGTGTGTCTTCAGTGGAAGATGCTCCTCATCTGGGTCAGGCACATCGAGTTGTGACTCCAGAGAACACTGCAGCAGTTGAAGCCATAGTAAGGGAAAACCGCTGAGTGACATTGAATGAAACTGCAGCAAGTTTAAACATTAGTCATGGTTCAGCACAACATTGTGCACGTGAACCGTGCAATGGTTCTTCTCCATTAAGCTCCTTGGAGTGGCCTCTCCAGACACCAGGATGCGAGCTGGTCCATTCTTTCCCACTTACGTCAGAATCACGTGTTTCACCCCCCCCCCTCCTTAGCGTGATTGCAAGCCTTCATGGTAAGTCAAGATAAGCGATCGTCCTCTTCTTCCCTTACATCTTCGTCTGGTAACATTGCTACGACTAAATTTGGTTTTTGGAACAATTAATTTGATGATATTGAAATTTTGTTTCAGCACGTTTTGCGGATCAAAGGGGGAGAAGCATCCCTCACGAGCTAGTCGGGGCTGGCTGGTTCGTGAGGTAAATGTTTTGAGTTTCTTTGGCCAAACTGCAAGTAAGTGACTTAGTGGATTTGTGCACGCCATAAGGAGTATTGGCTTTGGTTGTATACGCCATGTGGTGTGGTTTAGTTGATTTGCTGCACCGTGTGGTGGGGTGTAATTTTGGTTTTAGTTAGAGGTTGTAATAACGAGTAATTGCCCTTCAGCATGGTTCCCTTGTTTACTCAGGTTATCAATGTATTTCCTTGTGATAGGAAAAGTTGATTTGAGTACATGTGTACTGGATGTTTTTAGATACACCATGAGGCGTGGCATAGTTGATTTGGTGCACCGCCAGGCGCAGTGTAATTCTGCTTCAGTCAGCCACTGTATGTAATAACCAGTAACCGCCCCTCAGGCATGTTTTAATTGTATACTCAAGTTATCAATATATTTCCATGTTTTAGGAAAGTGTTTGAGTATATGTACACTGTGTCGCCATATGTACCATACTAGCTCCTGCCTAGCTGATCCACCCAGCTTGGCCTGTCGTAATGACCTGGGTTTTCCTCTCTCAAGATCCCTAATCCAATCCTAGGGAGGCATACTGCACCACGCCAGCAAGCAAGTACTTAATTACGGGCCTGTCCCTTACCCGTATAGAAGGGGGACACGGCTCACAAGATGTGCTCCAGTTTCACAAAGTGTCTGCAAGATGGGTGCCATGGCAGCTGACTCCTGAATTGAAAGACTAACGTATTGATGCTTGTGAAGAAATTCTGCGGTGCTTTGAATGAGGTGATGACTTCCTTGCAAGAATCGTTACTGGGGACAAAAAAGTGGGTTCACTTCCACCAACCATAAACAAAGAGAGTGAGCAAGGAATGGCGCCATTCGTCATCTTCAAAACCGAAGAAGTTTCGAACACAACCATCAGCAGGGAAGGTTATCCTGATTCTCTTTTGGGACGAAAAAGGCATCATCTTGGAGCACTACATGCCTAGAGGGACCACTGTCACCAGAGCATCATACTCAGATCTCCTAAAAAATCATCTTTGGCCTGATGCTGCTAAATTAACATAACTGTAGGAGAATGTCATGTCATGTCTGTTTCCACTCAACAAGACAGGGCACTGCACACATTCAGCAATCAGAATCAAATGGAACTCATGGGCACAGATCTTTTGTACCATGGGACTCAGTTCATTTACCATCAGTTCAAAAGCAATCAACTCCAATATATTGCAGCATTCTACAAAATTCAAGCATGCCACACACAGCAAAACTATATTACTGTTCCTTTAGTCTAAACCCATCTCTGCTGCTCTATGATTTACTGCAAACATCAACATGTAGCGCTGATGTCTCTTCAGATGGCTCTCTTTATGGAATGACTTATTACATACATCACAACAAAATGGCTTCTCCCCACTATGAATGTGTTGATGTATCTTCAGATTATTCTTCTGACTGAATGACTTTTTACATACATCACAACAAAATGGCTTCTCACCACTATGCATGTGCTGATGTCTCTTCAGAGTACTCTGACGACTGAATGACTTATTACATATGTCACATATAAATGGCCACTCCCCACTATGCATGCGCTGATGTGTCTTCAGACTAATCTGATGACTGAATGACTCATTACATATGTCACATATGAATGGCCGCTCCCCACTATGTATGCGCTGATGTGTCTTCAGATTACTCTGCTGACTGAATGGCTTATTACATACATCACAACAAAATGGCTTGTCCCCACTATGTATGCGTTGATGTGTCTTAAGAGCACTCTGAAAACTAAATGACTTATTACATACATCACAACAAAATGGCTTGTCCCCACTATGTATGCGCAGATGGGCCTTAAGAACACTCTTAAAACTGAATGACTTATTACATACATCACATATAAAGGGCTCCTCCCCACTATGTATGCGCTGATGTGTTTTCAGAGTACTCCGACGACTGAATGACTTATTACATACATCACAACAAAATGGCTTCTCCCCACTATGTATGCGCTGATGTGTTTTCAGAGTACTCCGACGACTGAATGACTTTTTACATACATCACAACAAAATGGCTTCTCACCACTATGCATGCGTTGATGTGTCTTAAGAGCACTCTGAATACTGAATGACTTATTACATACATCACAGCAAAATCGCTTCTCCCCACTATGCAGGTGCTGATGTGTCTTCAGACTACTCTGCTGACTGAATGACTTTTTACAAACATCACAACAAAATGGCCACTCCCCACTATGCATGCGCTGATGTGTCTTCAGACTAATCTGATGACTGAATGACTTATTACATATGTCACATATGAATGGCCGCTCCCTACTATGTATGCGCTGATGTGTCTTCAGATTACTCTGCTGACTGAATGGCTTATTACATACATCACAACAAAATGGCTTGTCCCCACTATGTATGCGTTGATGTGTCTTAAGAACACTCTGAAAACTGAATGACCTATTACATACATCACAACAAAATGGCTTGTCCCCACTATGTACGCGTTGATGTGTCTTAAGAGCACTCTGAAAACTAAACGACTTATTACATACATCACAACAAAATGGCTTGTCCCCACTATGTATGCGCAGATGGGCCTTAAGAACACTCTTAAAACTGAATGACTTATTACATACATCACATATAAAGGGCTCCTCCCCACTATGTATGCGCTGATGTGTTTTCAGAGTACTCCGAAGACTGAATGACTTATTACATACATCACAACAAAATGGCTTCTCCCCACTATGTATGTGTTGATGTGTCTTCAGATTACTCTGCTGACTGAATGACTTTTTACAAACATCACAACAAAATGGCTTCTCACCACTATGCATGCGTTGATGTGTCTTAAGAGCACTCTGAAAACTGAATGACTTATTACATACATCACAGCCAAATGGCTTCTCCCCACTATGCATGCGCTGATGTGTCTTCAGACTACTCTGATGACTGAATGACTTATTACATATGTCACATATAAACTGCCGCTCCCCACTACGTACGTGTCGATGTGCTATCAGAATTTGCTCTTGACTGAATGATTCTCCACACTCATCACAGGAATATCGTTGCTCCTCGCCATGCACAGGTTGAAGTTCATTCGAATTACCCTGGAAAATGAAAGTAAATAACATGAATAATCCTAACACGAAGAGAAATAAGTCTGAAGCTCCAGTACAGTGAGATGTTAAATCAGTAGGCGTGAGAGTGGTGACAGAGAGGGGAGGGAGGGAGGGAGGGAGAGAGCACACACCCCCCTTGTGTGGTGTGTGCCTGAGTCCATCAGCATGTATGGAGGTTTCTGAGTCAACAAAAGTTAAGCTGCACTGCCACTGTTTAACAAATTCCAAATTAAATAAAATTATGCATTTGTAAGGCTGGACACGCATCTAGTTAATAGTGGATAGGCCCCTAGAATGAAATAACAATAAAGGCTGGGCTAAAAAATGATACTAAGAAAGGCTGCATATGGCCCAGCAAAATCCCTGAAACAATATACAGAGTGTCCCAGGAGGAATGTGCCAGACTTTGGGAGGGTTAAAAGTATGCTGATATAACCCAAAACACCTATGTCCAAAGTTGAATTGTTACGGAGATAATGGCCAGAGAAGTGTGAAACTTTGACAGGTGTTACACACTTGTCGATTATGAAAAACATATTAAAACTGTCATAAATATGTGGTTTGCATAATGTTAATAATGTACATAACATCAAACTAACTTGTGACTGACATGAAGCCCTTAAATTGAACTACAAATAAACTTGCACGCCATGTCATAGTTGTCGTTAGGGTTCCAAGCACTATACATGACACATGAAAGGCAAGCACTGATGTAACATTGCTGACTGTGCATTCTGGTATGCAAGTGTATGCGGCTAGTGTCACTCGTCATCACCACACTCAAGGACAAACTTTGATAAGACTTGTCAGCTGACTGGTACAGTGCTTGGACCCACCAGAAAACCACACTTTTCTCGGGCCATTATCTCCGTAACCGTTCAACAAACCACAGAACAATTTCTGCACCCATTCAAAACTAATGATTATACTGCATTAAAATAACAATATTTTACATGTATAAATTTAATACATCAGTACCTTGAATTTGCAACTGCCACAACCATCCAAAATATAGAGTACAGTAACTTTACATTCTGTATGGGTGTGCATGCACTGAAACCTGGAAGGTCCTGCCTGACTGGTTTGCACTTCATAACCTTGCTTGGTTCCAGCTTATAAATTTCTTTATAGCATGGTAACACATATAGCATTTCACATTCAACCTTGGCAGAATCATCACCAAAAGGGTCATGGTTCCAAAATAACAACAATAATAATAATTAAAACCCTATGTACTTGAGAGTGCAGCGAGGTCTTTGCTTATGTATAACTTCCGAGACTGCGTAAGTTTGTAGCCATTCTGGTTTATGTTAGTGTTCCTATTTCTATGCAGATTTTGTGCAGAACATGATTGATATATTACTGTCTCACAGCCTGCAGACATAACATGGTGTAATTACTTATTTCTCTTTAGCTTGTGTTGGGTGAGGGAGCAATGTCACTAGATTTACTGCAAATTTTTTCATACCTGTCCCTCACTTGATAACATGTCTGTGTGCTGTGCTGGTGATGTGGTCGGTGTCTTGGGTGGTACTAGCAGGAAGATGTACAGTGTTTAACACATAGTGTGGTGTATTTTTTTTTGGCACTACAGCCCCAATTTAGGCCTTGACCTACCACCAAGACACTCTATTTCACTTTGGTTTACCAGATCTCAGACGTCCTGTAGGATTCCTTGGGCGGGTGATCAGCTCATCACAAGTCTCTACCTGTACGCAAACACAGAAACACACACGTACACACCAAACATTCATCCACTGAGTGGGATTTGAACCCACAATTCCAGCTTCCAAGTGAGTGAAGGGAGTGCATGCCTCGGACCCCTTGGTTACCGTGACGGGCTTCGTTTATGGGTGACCATGTGTGAATACTATACAAGATGGAAAGTTCCTGGACTAGGTCAAAAAAGAAATACTGACTTAACTTACTTCATATTGTCTACCATCTCTTTCAAAACAGTCTCCTTGGGAACGTATACAGAGTTCTCATCATTGTTTCCACATTTCAAGAGCGCCGTGGAAGACATTTTCCTCAATGCTGTCGAGTACCACTTGTGATTCCCTTTGGATGTCAAACACTGTTTCAAAACATCGTCCCTTCAGTTCCATTTTCAAATTGGGAAAGAGTGAAATCACAGGGGCCTAAGTCTGGCAAGTAGGGAGGACAGGGAGCGAGAACCATGTTGTTAGTCAAAACTCTGTGGCTTTCAAGGATGTGTGGATGGGTGTGTTGCCGTGATGAGGGGGCAATATGGCACATGTTCAAATTTTCTGTTGAGATCTCCTGGCAAACTCCATAACTGATCCCAATCGTGTCTGCAAGCTCATGGATTGTTTGGTGTCAGTCTTTGTGGACGAGGACTGGAATTTTTCAACATTTTCTGTCGTTTTGCTGGTGCTTGGTCGCCCTGAATGTTTGCCACCTTCAACTGACACTTGACCAGCCTTGAAATGTGAATGCCATTCAAAAACCACTGTCCCACTTAAAGAACATTCTCCAAAAGCCTCACAAAGCATTTAAAGAGTTTTGGCAGTGGATTTACCAAGTTTCATGCAAAACTCGATACAGACACACTACTTGATTTTGCCATCCATCGTGGACAAAATGACACACAAAGTGGAAAAAGCATTAGAGTAAAAATAATGCATGTTCAGAGCAACGTGTCATATGGCAGACTGATGCAACAGGCTATTGGCCTCCACTCTCATCTTCTTTCACTAATGCAGTTACAACAATAAGCCCAGGAACTTTCTGATAGCACCTTATATTGAACGTTTTTTGCCTTCGTTGTGTTTATCTTTAAGTAGATTTATCTTTTTGTATTTGTACAGGGAGGTTCTTATGGTTGTTGACTGGTTCACAGCTCTGCGTTTCCCGGTGACCAGCACAGAGCCGACTGAGTAAGATATGAATTTTGAGAATGAACATGCCTGATGGTCCATAATGTTTGGAATTAAGGGAAGTTAATAAATTTGTGGACGGCTTGATGGCATTATATTTCACGATAATCAATGCAGTTCATGTGTGGGAATTTGTTTATGATTTGTCAGCAGTCGGCGGCAGTTATCAACTCCATTAGTCATTTGTTCTGTTACTGTTAGTGAGCACTGGGTTCTATCATGATGCGATATACTTTAGAGCACTGTGCATTTCTTTATGACACTTATGCCAAATACAATTCTGCTAGTAAGCGCCGGTGAAAAATTTGTGATGAAAGAGTCCCAGGAGACAAACAATTCACAATTTGGTGAATAAACTTTGATTAATGAGACTATTAATAGACAAAAAACAAAAGAATAAGTGCCCAGTGCTCAATGTCTAGCTCAAAGAGACTGGAGTGTCAGAGGAGAGTGCAAGAAGGGCAACACAACTGCTGCAGCTTAAATCATATAAGACATTAGTAACTGTATACATTTCCGCTCATTCTTACTGAAATTATATCTTTTTTATTGTGCATATAAATGCATATTTTAAAGTTTTATTGGTTTTACAGCATAATTTGGCATAATTTTGAAATAAGGTCATATTTTTGTCATTTTAGAATAAATTCTTTGATATACTGTACAATTTTTGCTCCATAATGTTTTGTACTACAAAATAAATTTCAGACTGGACTGTTGCTCCAATGTGGTATAGAGTTCCAAGTGCATGAAGTTTGTATTAAAAACCATATTTTTGACTGGACTGTACTTGCTGTTACAAAGTCAAAATTTGTGGAATGCAACATTTATAACCTGGCTAGCTGGCTTTCCCCAGTCTCCACTTTACTATACTATATACAACATACTAAGATGGAAAAGGCTGGCTAGCCAGGCATATAACCATTCCAGTTTTGAAAGTATTCTATTTATATATGAGGGGGTACCCAAAAATAACCGGAATTTATTTTTATTTTTTATTTTTGCATTTTTATTGAACTGTATATTAGTCCCCTTCAAAGTATTGTCCATGTGCATTAATGCACTTGTCCCAACGCTTTTGCCACTGCTCAAAACAGTGCTGGAATTCTTGAGGTTGGATACTGTTCAAAACCTTAGGCGTGTTTTCTTTGACTTCATCCACATCACGGAATCGCTTTCCTTTCAGACTTCTCTTCATCCGTGGAAACAAAAAAAAAAGTCCGACGGAGCCAGGTCGGGTGAGTAAGGTGGATGAGGCACAATCACCATGTTGTTGCTTGTCAAAAACTGTCGGACCATCAAAGCTGTGTGGGCTGGAGCATTGTCGTGGTGAAGCAACCAGTTCCCATTTCTCCACATTTCGGACCCGTCGCACACTCTCTTGTAATCTTCATAACACATCCAGGTAAAAATGTTGGTTCACTGTTTGTCCTGGCGGAACGAACTCTTTGTGGACAATGTCATTCACATCAAAAAAACAAATCAACATTATTTTCACATTGGATCGCACTTGACGCGCTTTCTTCGGTCGTGGTGAAGTTGGAGTTTTCCACTGGCTTGATGATTGCTTTGATTCTGGATCGTACCCATAGCACCAAGACTCATCGCCAGTCACAATTCTTTTAAGAAATTCTGGATCGTTCTGCACTTCACTCTTCAAGTCGCGGCAAACATTCACGCGGTTTTCTCTTTGGTCATCTCCGAGCAAGCGAGGAACAAATTTTGCAGACACCCGTCTCATGTGCAAACCTTCGGTTAAAATTCGCTGGACCGTGCTCCATGAGATGTTCGTTTCCTCAGAAAGTTGGTCAATGGTCTTTCGACGATCTTCATCAATTGCACGTTTGATTTTGGCAATGTTTTCGTCATTTCTTCCTGTCGAAGGACGCCCGGGGCGTGGCATGTCTTCTGTTGACATGTTGCCAGATTTGAAATGGGAAAATCACTCACAGACCTGTGATTTCCCCAAAGCATCATCATTAAAGGCTTGCCGAAGCATCCCAACAGTCTCGGCTGCAGTTTTCCCTAACAGAAAGCAAAATTTCACGCACACTCTTTGTTCCTTCTGGTCGGCCATCTCACTAATCGCCAAAGGGTTGAAACAGGAACGCACACAACAGAGCACCACAGACAAAACACTTAACTCAGACTGACGCCAGCTCACTAACAGTTGCAGGAGACCCCCAGCTAACACCACCTAGCAGCACAACTCGTAACTACAAAGCATGCGCGCGCAACAGGTCGGTTCCGGTTATTTTTGGGTCCCCCTTCGTATGTGGAGGGCCTTCAAACACTTCAGCTTGACTTTACAATTCCTAGAGTACATGTAGTTCATGTTCAGTTATGTGCACGAGTTTGGTGAAAAAGTGTTTAGTACCGATGGAGATATATTTCATTACAAGCTATGCAACATAAAAGTTACAGCAGAAAAGCGATTTACTGTGCAGCAGCACTGTAAAACTTCTAAATGTGTTAAATGTTTAAGCTGATTACGAGTATCTATAAAGGACAACAGACAAAGTTTGTTGTTTAAAAACAATTCCGCTAATTCTTCTTCTTCTTCAACGAACAACAGGTCAGAATTCTCGAACGATTTGTGTCAATAGACAGTTTCTTTGAATATTTCAATAGAGAAATTACATAATCAGCACTTCAGAACATTTCTGGAGACATACACTTGTCATCCTATCCCAAGTGATCGACGTTAAGAAAAATTCTCTCTCTCTATATCTTATGAAGATATGTTAAATAAGATTCGAACACCTGTTGCTGACAACAAGATATAGGTTTCCTTGGATGAGACTTCTGACACAGATGGGCGGTATATCTCGAATGTTATAGTTGGGACCCTGCAGATATATTTCTTCTTGATCGTGGAGTTCTTGAAAGAGCAAATCATTTGACTACAGCTGTCCTATTTGATAATTCCATGAACTTCTTGTGGCCAGATAGAATACAGTGAAATAATGTCCTTCTCCTAGTAACAGATGCTGCTCCATACATGAGGAAGGCTGCCAAAGGACTTCAAATTCTCTACCCGAATATGATCCATATTACTTGCCTCGCTCGTGCATTGCAGAGAGTGGCTGAACAAGTTCTAAGAAATTTTCCAGACGTAGATAGGCTAATTTCAAATGGAAAGAACACTTCCTCCACAGCCTTTCATCACATGAGGGGGGGGAGGGGTCTGTGGCATATTATTGTGAAAATTACACAACCATTGAGAAAGTGGTTAATGACTTTGACAGCTGCGAGTCAACATCAATTAAAGCTGTCAAGGATTTCTCTACCGCTCTAGCACAAAATCTGACATATATAAAGTCGAACTTCTGTTCAATTTCAAGTGCAATAACTCGTCTGGAAATTGTAGGGACTGAACTCTGTGATGCGTGGGACACTGTAAAAAGCATTGAGAATGAACTAAGCTCATCTCATGGTGAAGTAAGCAACAAGATTAAAACCAAAATAGAAAGTGTTCTTCAATGGAATGCTGGTTATTCAACAATAAGCAAGACTGCTCATATACTTTCCGGTAAACCAGCAACATTTGATGATGATCCAGAACTGTCACCAAATGACCTGACATTCTTCAATTATGCTCCTGTGACATCATGTGATGTGGAACGAAGTTTGTCCAAATACAAAACCATCCTCAGTGACAATCGGCAATCTTTCAAATTTGAAAAATTCATGTAGTTATAAATTGCAATTGTAACAGTGAAAATTGAGAAGTGAATAACTTTTGTTACGGAAACATTGTAAACTGAGAGCCGAATAAGCTTGTGTTCTATATTGTGTTTTTAGCTAAGAGAATATGAATGCAAAAATCAGTATTAAAAAGAAAACAAGAAATGGTTTAATCCAGTATGAAATGTTCCAATTCCATCAGTTTTCTTTCCTTCAGAAACACAATACGGCTAATTTGGTAAGTAGGGCCTACTATCATACAAGTCATCATTTTTATTCTTAAACTCTAGTAAAAGTTATAATTAAAATTGTGAAATTATATTTCCAATTTAATATTTAAGGTCATTTTTACACTTTTTATGATATACGTGATGTAATTTGGGGTCACAATTGCATGCATTTATTCATAAAAATCCGGACCCTAGTAATAATGCATGCCTTGCAGCTGTGCGATCCAGCTAGCCAGGTTCAATTTTGCAGTTGGTTTCTACAGTGGATCACTGAAGATGAGATTCATCTTGAACTGACAAGGCATGGGTTCACTTGCAGGAATACATAAATACAAAATATAATTGCTACTGGGTTTTACTAAATCCACATCTAACCCATGAAGTATGGCTCCATCCAGTGAAAGTTTGAGTCTAGCATGCTGTAAGGGCAGCAAGGAGTGCTCTACCTGTGTCTTTTTAACAGAACAATTCACTGTGAAAGATATGTACAGTTCGAAGGCCACGCCATAGCTCAAGCGGTTAGTCGCTGGCTTCTCGATCCTGGGTCTGGTCAAGTGGGATTTGTGGTGGACAAAGTGGGGCTGGGGCAGGTTTTCTCCGAGTACTTCGGTTTCCCCTGCTAATCTTCATTCCATCAATTACTCCGCAATCACCCTCACCTATCATCAGGGGCCGGTACAATAGGTCAGAAGAGACCACCTTACCAAGTGGACTCAGTCCCACCCCCCAAAACAAGTAAAAAAAAAATTATGTACAGGTCATTCTCAGACAATTCTTTCGAGAGTTACAAAAGCAGAAAGACTCTATGGCTGGTTTCAGCAAGACTCAGCTACTGCCCACATTTCATGTACATCTATGCAAGCTTTGTCTGGTATCTTTGGGGACAGAAATATCAGCATTGGTATTTGGCAGGCACATTCAGCCGACCTTAATGCTTATATTTTCTTCTGTGGTTCTCTGCAGGACAAAGTTTAAAACAATAAAACCCATGAGGAAGAACTAAAAAAATATTCAGAGGGAAATATCACAAACTCTGGCACAACAGCTTTAAGGGTTAATCAGAACCCCTTCTGCTGGTGCAAGGAATGTCTACGTGTAGGGCGACAGCATTTTCAACAATTTCTGTGACCTGTGAACTGTATACTTCATTCCAAACGTTACTGGCCACAGGCACACTGATACACTGGCAAAATTTGTATGCACCTTGCAGCCAGTGGTGCATCAGTCACTGTGAACATGCCGAGAAAAGTAAGAACCTCCGTCTATATGTACATGTAGAAATTTTCTTTGATGTTCATTACTAGCTTTATTTGTGTGTTTAATTACATCCGTTGCAGATTCCACTTCACCACAACTGCGTCTATATTTTAGGATGTCTTGCCAATTGCAGTTCTTCACTACTGTTTTTATACCTCTTACACATTCTCTGTATCTTAATGTTTAGTCACCTTTCTGTCTAACTGAAAACAACAAAAGAAACTGTCATGACAACCAATCACCTGATAGCAGGTACAGAGGTAACTCACAGAGTGTCGGGTATATTAAATTTACTTCAAACAAAGGGCAACAGGCAACACATGTCTGTAATCTGTCAAACATTATCACAAAGCTATAGAGAATTATCAGTTATACTATAACAAATCCTCAACATAATGACAGCTCTATGTTATTACATGGATAGAGGCTGCATCAAAGCCAGGAAATAAATAAATGATATGGGAACTATATGATGTAGTAACAAAGCACGGCTTAGTGGAATGGTACAGCACATGCAACATTCAACGCACTACAGTTGCCTAGACACATTAAAAAAAACCTTCAAAATCTAGTCAATAGCACAGTAGAGCTGTTTCATGTTCACAGAGATGGATCTCAGACAGACAAGCAGCATTTCTACACATTTGTGTTATCTGCCTAACAGTGCATATACAGCTCACCTCAGGTTCAGCCTTTATTTCTGGAAATGTTATTGGGACAGGATCCTCTTCCTCTTCTGCATCTGAGACTGCCTCAGCTTTTACATTTGTGGCCTGATCTGCACCATGAGGTGTTGGGTATGTCTCACCATATGGACCCACTAAAGTGTTCTCCGAATTTGTACAGTTCTGTAAAAAACATCACATCCTTCTCAGAAATGGATGTACAACACCACACATTAAACAGCATATGTTTTCCTTGCTATGGCTGTTTCTCATCACATCTAACTCATAAGAGCTGTTTTGTGTCTTCTCTACAGCTATCATGATCACTAGAAAGTACTCGGTTCACAGTTCAGTGACCTTCCCGAGAAACTATCAGTCACTGCAGCAGTACAGAAAATATCTGCTTTTTTGGTACCTAAAAACATCACAATGAAGAGCTCCACAATTGTAACCTTCGTTCACCAAGCATAATTATATGATCAAGTCAAGGAGGATGAGATGGGCAGCTCATATAGCAGGCATGGTCGGAAGTGGAATGCATATATGATTTGCTGAGAAAGCCAGAACGAAAGAGACCACTAGGAAGGCCTAGGCATAGGTTCGGAAGATAATATTTAAGTGGATCTTTAAGAGACATAGGATGTGGTGGTGTGAACTGGATTAATATGGCTCAAGATACGGACTTGTGACAGGTTTTTGTGAACGTCAATAAACTTCCAGGTTCTATAAAATGTTGGGAAATTCTTCAGTGGCCAAGCAACTGGTGGCTTCTCAAGGACTCACTCACCCCCATGAAGTTATTTATTGTACCTAAAAGCTAAAGTCAAGGAGGATGAGATGGGCAGCTCCTATAGCAGGCAAAGGGGAGAAGAGGAATGCATATAGGATTTACTGAGAAAGCCAGAAAGGGCTCACTACTGTGTTCACCATGGCTCCATATTCTGTGGCAAACAGTCTCAGTACAAACCCTTCCAAATTATTTCTTTATAATCTATCTTAATAGCAACTTTCCATTCGCACTCAGGTCTCCCAAGTGGTGTTTTTCTCTTTGTACGCACTTCTCACTGCTGCATGTGCACTACATGACTTACCCACATCTCTCTCCTTGAACTCACTGCTCACCTACAGAATATCCCAACCGTTACCACCCAAGTGTAAGAAACTGTCCACATGGATTATGCAAACTAACAGAAGCGGGTAACAAAATATTTAGTTTCTCTGATGAAGAGAATTGACATATGAAAATAAAACTCTTGTCTGTGCACACAAGCATGAAACACAATACCTTCTTTCACAGCAAGAAATGTTTCTTCAGCTTCATAGAGTACAATACTTGCCACTCTTATTGCAAGAGAATGCAGAATCTTTTGTAACCTTCATCACAAGAAAAATATCTTGTAGGATTCACTGGAATTAGCTCACAAGAGTTCTAGTAATTTGAATTCTTGGTTCTAACATGTGTTAACTAACTGCAAACAGTTCTGTGATTCCCTATGGATTTTTGCTGCTATAGAATTTCTCTCAAATACAGTTCAGTTTACAAAAAATTTAATTTCATCTACATCAGAACTGCTTAAAAAGGGGGAAGTGATACATCACAAGCAACAAAATTCAACGAACTACAACTGTCTAGTGACACTTCAGAAAAAGGCCTTCAAAGGTGAGTCAGCAGTGCAGTGAAGTTGTTCTATGTGCACAGAGAGAGAGAGAGAGAGAGAGAAATGGAGATGACAAAGACAACTGGAATTCCTGCCTAACTGTGGACATACAGAAACACACAGCTCACCTCATGTTCAGCCTTTACTTCCTGAACTGCTTTTTCCACAGGATCTGCTTCCTCTTCTGCATCTGAGACTTCCTCAACTTTTATATTCATGGCCTGGTTTGCATCATGACTTGCTGGATATATCTCATCATATGGACCCACTAAAATCTTCTCTGAATTTGTACAGTTCTGTAAAGGCGTCACATCTTCTATCAGTCATGGCTGTACAACACCATACATGAAACAATATATGCTCTGATATATTGGGTTTTTGGACTTTATCCATCATCCTGGTTTTTAAGATAACTAATAAAAACACGTTTCGGAAACTGGATCTGTTTCCGTCCTGAGGTGAAGAATAGGTGTTTTCCTTCACCTGAGGACGGAAACAGATCCAGTCTCTGAAACATCATGTTTTTATTAGTTATCTTAAAAACCAGGATGATGGATAAAGTCCAAAAACCCAATATATCAGTGTGTTATACACCATCATCAGAATCCTATAGTAACTAAATATATGCTCTCCTTGCTGTAGCTGTTTCTCATTACATCTAACCCATAACAGCTGCTCTGTACAGATTTCTCCTCTACACACTTCATAATCTTAGCAAGTGTTAAGTTCATAATGCTGGGACCTTCCTAAGAAACCTGTGGTCCATGTGGAAGCACAGACAACATGTATCTGCTTTTTATGGAACCTAAGCACTCATTATTGTGTTCACACATGCCCACCATGACTTTGCATCCTGACACAAACAAACCCAGCCCAAAACCCCCATAATTGTACCTTCAACAAAATCCATCTTCAAAACTGTCTCCCAAGTGGTCTCATTCTTTCAGGTCTTCTGTCATTTCTCATTCTCACATGCATGCTCTATGACCTACCCACATCACGATCTGAACAGCCGTTCATAGGACCTGAACCAGCTTGCGGCATCTCAATTGGAGTTGAAAAAAAAAGTGGTCATGGACTGGACTGATGGAAACCATAAAAAATACTGGGAAACCATAATTGGACTCAAACAGGTGACAGGATTTATAGCAGGACACTCTGCCAGAAGAACAAAGGATCTGTTGAGATTAAACAGAGATCAACTAAATTGGGTAGCAGGATTACTTACCAGACACTGCCACCTGAAAGGACACCTTTTCAAGTTGGGACAGACAGACAGACAGCTCAACTTGTGAAAGGTGCCTACAAGATAACAAATCAGCTGCACACAACCTGTGTGCTTGTGAGGGTACAGCTTATTTAAGATTTCGTCACTTGGGTCAGTTTTTTATGGAACCAAGTCACTTTTATGATGCCCCATAAGAAGGGTCCTACAATTTATTAAAAGTGTAGGATTAATAATTGGCTAATCCTAGGGGAAGCACAATAGATCACTGAAGGTCACAGTGCAGGGGCCACTTTTTATGTCCCACCCCTTACTTACATACATACATACATACATACATACACCACTCTCCTTGAATTGGTCCCTTTCCCACATAATAATGCAAAGTGTTAAAATATGAAGAACCATGTAAACTCCCTTGATGGCTTATGAAAACTAACACAAGCTTGGCATAAAAAGTTTAGTTTCTTAAGATATGAGAATTGACTGATGACAATAAAATTCTTGTCTATGCACACAAGCAGAAAACACTCACCATCCTTTCTGTCACAGCAGGAAATGTTTCTTCAGCTCTCTGTAGCAGAATTTTCGGCATTCCTTTTGCAAGAGAACGTAGAATCTTTCATAACTTTGAAACTTTATTTTATCACACGCGATGCTTTTGTGGGTGGCAAATGGATTGATTTACAAGAATCCTGGTGATATGGCATCATATTTCTAACAAGTGTAGCTGTACCTAGCTCTGAATATTTGCCCAAGTCTGTAGGGAAACATACACACGCTGATGTAGACCTCTTTGTTCTCACAGCAGAGGGCGGGAGAGTTTATGAAGCTTAGTGTCTTATTCCACGTTGTGTAGTCTAACAGACTGTTGTTCAATTTTTGACGGCAGCTAGTTCACCCATTTTAAGTACACCTCTTTCTTCCAAAACGTCGTTAACTGGCTACCAGACTGCACGCACTTATGTCCTAGAACCAGCAACCTACTCTACAAATTTACATCGCAGAGCCGCAAAAATGCATATTTGTGCCCAGCAACTTCAACCAATTTAATATAGACCATCACCTCTCACGACTTCCTTAAGTCGGTTTGGTATGTATAACAGGCGAGAAAAAGTATAAAACAGTAAAAATGTGCATTCTACTAGAAACATGGGCCTTGCGAACGGTTGCGAAGTTTATCAGAATCCCAACAAGAACTTGCAACAGCGAAATATCACGAACACCATAATTTGTCAAAATATGAGGAAACTGAATTTCTCTCGAATGATCCTAATGATTCCCTAACGAATACCCAAAATTTACACTTCCACTACGAATGCACTATTCATTACCACCACTACCGAACAGACCCGTAAAACTCCCATGTTATTGGTTGGCAACATGGCCGCCATGACACCTCGATGAAACGGTTCTACCATCTATGTTCAGCTTACATGACTAAATTAAAAATGACCTCCAGGGCCGAGAGCACAATCGGTAAGAAGGTATGCTACCTTAGCAAATGTTTTGTGTGCTCCCACCTCGCCCCCCTCAAAATGCTTTTTTCGCTACTAGCAATGAATGCTTTTAGATCTCTTGCACTGCAGTCTCTCTTTCCTTCTGGCGTTCCCACTAATAACCTATATGCATTCCTCGCCTCCCCATTCGTGCTACATGCCCTGCCAACCTCATCCTCCTCGACTAGTGATATTGAACACAGTTCAAAGTATTCATTTCCCCACCAACCTATTTCCATTTTTCAACTGTGTTCAATATCACTAGTCGAGGAGAATGAGGTTGGCAGGGCATGTAGCACGAATGGGGAGGCGAGGACTGCATATAAGATATTAGTGGGAACGCTAGAAGGAACGAAACTACTGGGAAGACGAAGGTGTAGGTGGGTGGACAATATTAAAATGTATCCTAGCGAGATAGAATGGTTTAGATTGGATTGGACTTATCTGGCTCATGATAGGGACCAGTGGAGGGCTCTTGTGAACATAGTAATGAACCTTCGAGTTCTACAAAAGACTGGAAAATTCTTGAGTGGCTGCACAATTGACAGCTTCTCAAGAAGGGCTCAGCTCCATAAGTGAGTTTAATGTCACTTCACCCATATCCTTTGGGTTGGATCTGAGTGAAGTTCTATTAAACTTTGTCCCCCACCCTTTCCAAAAAAAAAAAAATGTAACAGCGGAATAAGAGCCTCTGCAGCTCTGGAGTACAAGAGGTTAGGGTGCAAATTAATTATCTGAAGAAAGTTTGTCACCAGGTCTGGAAAGTCATAACCTTTCTTTAACATGAAACACCTCTTTAACCAAAAGCACTGAACATCGTGAACTGTAACATACATGGAATACTTGTAATTAGGAAAGCTGAAGGTGGGGAAACTTGAAAGAAAATTCTGTTTCAATCAGAGATACATATATTAAGCCTCATAATTTCATCATAACTTACACTTGAAAGCCATAAAGAACACAGTTTTCCGGTTACAGTTAAGTATTATAAATCATATACTAAACTCCTCCAATGGGACATGAGTCAGGAACGTTACAAGGGTACGGGGCGTAGGAGTGACACAACGGAATGATGCAGAGGTAGACATGTGTAATATAAAGACTGCAGAGGTGGTGTCTAGCTGCAGGGATGTGCAAAGATAAACAGAGTGTCCCAGGAGGAATGGACCAAACTTCGGGAGGGTGTTCCTTATGTTAAAGTATGCCGATATAACCCAAAACACCTATGTCCAAAGTTGAACGGTTACGGAGATAATGGCCAGAGAAGTGTCAAACTTTGACCGGCGTTGCACACTTGTTGATTAGCGAATACATGTTAAAACTGGCAAGAATATGTGGATTCTGTAATGTTAATAATGTACGTAACATAAAACTAACTTGTGAGTGACATGAAGCCATAAAATTGAAGTACAAAATACTCGCTCGCCATGTCATAATTGTCCTTAGGCAAGCACTGACGTAACGAGCTGACTGCGCGTTCTGGTATAAGCCAACTACATACGTACAGCTAGGGTGAATCACAGCACTCAAGGACAAACATAGATAAGGCCTCTCAGCTGACAGACACAGTGCGTGGACCTGCTAGAAGACCACACTTTTCTCGGGCCATTATCTCCGTAACCGTTCAACTTTGGACATAGGTGTTTTGGGTTATATCGGCATACTTTAACATAAGGAACATCCTCCCGAAGTTTGGTCCATTCCTCCTGGGACACTCTGTATATATCTTTGCACATCCCTGCAGCTAGACACCCCCGCTGCAGTCTTTATATTACACATGTCTACCTCTGCATCATTCCGTTGAGTCACTCCTACGCCCTGTACACTTGTTGTAACGTTCCTGACTCATGTCCCATTGGGACACCCTATATATATATATAAATAGTGGATGAGTAGAATAGGAGAAAGAGGAGACTAGCGACCCACAACTGGGTGAAAGGGAGGCTAAGATGAGGTCCAAGAATCGTTTAAGGAAAGTGCAATGTGTAATCTGACACCAGTCGGCTCTTTAATTGTGATATTACTAAAACGTATATAGTTGTGTATTGATTGTTTATACTAATATAGGGTAGCATAGGATGAGAATGTGGGTTTCTGTTAATGCGATATCCTCCCTTACCACATTTCGCACCTGCGCCCTCCTGCCAAGCCCGGTGAACAGTGTGCCCTTAGCCAATGAAGCAACGATAGAGGAAGTAATTTAGCAGTTTCCTTAGTTCACCCCCTGCGACTGCATAACAGAAGGTGGCAGAGTGGATACCTCAACGCCCCCTGTCACCACGGCATAACAGATGGTGGCAGCGTCGCGAATTTTCGAACCCCACTCTAAGAGAGAGATGAGGGGCTAGACTCAGTGTTAAGTAAGGCTAGGTAAAGCAAACTTGCAGTCAAGAATTAAGGGAACTTAAGTATAACAGGGGACAACAGTAAACAGAAACATGGAGGGGAGGATAGCCGAACTAGAAGGACGACTAAGGGAACTGACGCTGGGGGTTAAGACGAAGGACTTGTCATTAGCAGCA